AACTAGGTCAAAAAACAAGAATCACGAAGGAATTATATATGTTCAAAACAGTTGTGTTTGAGTGATATGTGATTTTTTTTTTTGCTTTCTACTATTCTATATTTTACATGTTTTATAAAATGCCCATGTACTAGTTTTATTATCAGAAAAGAATAATTGCTTCATAATCATCTGCTTAAAAGAAACTTGACTTGGAAAGGAAGAGAGAGGAAATGGCAGACAGAGTTAGACATAAACCTGAGGATTTTATTTTTTTTTTTTTGAGACAGAGTCTCACTCTGCTGCCCAGGCTAGAGTGCCATGGTGTCAGCCTAGCTCACAACAACCTCAAACTCCTGGGCTCAAGCAATCCTTCTGCCTCAGCCTCCTGAGTAGCTGGGACTACAGGCATGCACCATCATGCCCGGCTAATTTTTTCTATATATTTTTAGTTAACCAATTGATTTCTTTCTATTTTTAGTAGAGACGGAGTCTCGCTCTTGCTCAGACTGGTTTCGAACTCCTGACCTTGAGCAATCCTTCCAGAGAACTAGGATTACAGGGGTGAGGCACCACGCCAAAGCACTAAACCCGAAGATATTTATTTAGTGGAAAAGACTTGAGAATACTTACAAGTTAAGAGGGAAGAGCTAAGAAAGGGAATGTGGTTAAAGATATGTTCATGATACAGGATAATTAATGGAGCAAGGATCTAGAAGTAAGGAAGACAAGAGAATCCAGAATATGGATCCAAAGAGAGACAGCTCTTCCTCTGAGATAGGAAAAATAATAATGGCAAAAAAAAAAAAAAAGAAATAAGGCCGGGCGCTGTGGCTCACGCCTGTAATCCTAGCTCTTGGGAGGCCGAGGCGGGCGGATTGCTCGAGGTCAGGAGTTCAAAACCAGCCTGAGAAAGAGCGAGACCCCGTCTCTACTATAAATAGAAAGAAATTAATTGGCCAACTGATATATATATAAAAAATTAGCCGGGCATGGTGGCGCATGCCTGTAGTCCCAGCTACTCGGGGGGCTGAGGCAGAAGGATCACTCAAGCCCAGGAGTTTGAGGTTGCTGTGAGCTAGGCTGACGCCACGGCACTCACTCTAGCCTGGACAACAAAGTGAGACTCTGTCTCAAAAAAAAAAAAAAAAGAAAAGAAATAAAATGGTTCAAGCAGTTACCGTGTGATAGTTTCTATTTTCTTTACAAAAGTTAAGAGTATGCAGGTGTGGCAAGAAGTTTTAAGGAGAGCTTAAGGTTTAGAATAGTCAGCCTGGGGCACTGGAGGGGAAGCTGACAGAGGACAAGAAAAATGCTAAGTAGCACTGGGAACTTGGCCATGATTGGAAACTCCAGGTATGAACATATTACAAATCTATACTATTCAAGTATTTTCTTTAATAAATTTGGATTCTTTGGGAGCCCAAATGGAAAAAGGACTATTTCAGTATTGAGAATTTTCAGGGATAGCGTGGCAGAAGGACAAGAAGAGGTTCAGACCACCAAAACTGTACCCTGAATTGAATAGTCAAGAATAGGGGTCCCTCTTCCGTGCTTTGTGAATGTCCTATGTGTGGCGGCCTGTCACCTTAGCACAAGCCCAGCCATGTTAGAACAACCAGCCATTTTGGTTAAAGGGTTACTTACTATAACCTTTAAGCTGGGCCTGGAGGAAAGAGGGCTGGACAAACAAAGCAATTAGGGCCTGGAGGAAAGAGGGCCGGACAAACAAAGCAATTAACTTATAACTGATTGATTACGCAGCTATACAGTACTAACTGATGCTATCTGCTTCTATAACCACTGCTTGCTCAAACTCATTTGTTAAGATCAGGCCAGGGGGTCTGAGGAAGGTCCCAGACCCCCAGGCTTGGAAATTATTACCAATGTGTTCATGTTGTGTGCTTAATGTCACATATGGTGCCATGGTATATAAACTTTGTAAAATTGACAGTTGGGGCCACACTCTGAACCTGGTTACATCTACTGTGTTTCCCCAAGAATAAGACCTATCCATAAAATAAGCCTTAGCAGGATTTGTAAGCATTTGCGCAATATAAGCCCTACCCTAAAAATAAGACCTAGTAATGGGCGTGGCTACGCAGCATATCTGCATAACCCATGCATTTCATAGCGGAGCAGTAAAGAAGACGAGCAGCCCTTCTCATCTGCCTCATAAGAGCTCTATTGCTCGACCTGAGAGATTGGGGCCAATGGTTCTAAAGGAAATAGAGTCGCAAGAAATTCAGGATGGAATTTGGGGTTTGGAGAGTTATAATGATGTTCCAGAAGAAGACGACTTACTTAACTATATTTGAATAAATGTAGATGGTTGTACCATACTTAAAAAAAATAACACATCCCTTGAAAATAAGCCCTTGGGTGTCTTCTTGAGGAAAAATAAATATAAGACCCTGTCTTATTGTTGGGGAAACACAGTAGGTTGGAGGGTGCACAGCTGGAGTGTGAGTCTATAAAGACTCACTCTAAACTTCAATTTGACTCAGTGGTTATTTCTCTCGCTCGGGGCCATAACACTATGCATCCTTTATCAGTAATTATGTTGCTTCATAATTATCTGTTTAAGTAGAGGTCTCTCTTCTTTAAATTGTCTGAAATTTTATTGTGTCTTATTCACAGCTAGAACTTAATGGCTAATACCTAATAGTTGCTCAATAAATATTTAATTGATGGCCTAATTCATTTAAAACATACTGAGAGACTACCAGGTACTAGCCACTGTTCATATAACGGTAAACAAAACAGGTATGGCACTTCCCTCATGAAACTTATAGACTAGTGAGAAATCTCTAGAGCAGGGGTCCTCAAACTTTTTAAACAGGGCCAGTTCACTGTCCTCAGACCATTGGAGGGCCGACTACAGTTTAAAAAAACTATGAACAAATTCCTATGCACACTGCACATTGTGGCCTTTCTGGTTGGTCAGTCCTTAGAGACTCCCTATCATAGACCAAACATCTGTTCAGTCCTCAGAAGCCCCCTTGACATGTTACCTGTTCTTTCTTGGAAGTTCCCTCTGGTTAGTTTGTTCCTCCTAGTAGACAAAGCATCTGCTAGTGCCATCTATTTCTCAATGTAAACCCCTTAACAAAGAATCTGTTCCCCTTCCTCCTTGTCCCAACCTAACAACCTGAGGTAGGAAAGAGCCTGGCATAGAGTTCAGGATATATAAATGACAATGTAGAATAAAATATGACTATACCCTTAGGTAAACCTTACAGACCCAAACTAAAAATCACAAAAGACCTATGATTCAGTCTTGAAAACCTCAATGCAAACCTTACTTTCTGTCTTTTTTCTTCCTTTTCATTCTGCTCATGTAAAAAGACCAAGAGGAAATTTCTCTTTCATATAGCCTAACACTGCTAGTTGTCTAAGACTTTGTTTTCAAAACAATATAAAAATCACAAAATACAAATTATCCAGAGAGGGGTAATAAAGTAGATTTCAGCTAAGCCATGGAAAAATCTTAGCAGGCCCAAGATATTGTAACATTTTCTTAAAAAACTCTATATCTTAACTCAATACCCCCAAACCTTAGGCAATATAACCTTAACAAGCTCCAGCCCAAACCTGACTAGTTTATTTCTTGGTGACCCTACTTTATGCTCTACTAGCTTACTGATGGAGATCTAGTCCTGGCCATTGAGTGGAAGATCCTCATAACTCTTATCCCTTACAAAGTGCTCATTTCTTCCCTTCTCACACTGTAAAAAACAATGGCCACCAGAAATATACCTTTTATAAAATAAAATATATATAAAATATAATTTTTTGAATACACAATAAGTGCTCCCAACAATACCCTAGGTGTCAATAAGAGACCTAAAATAATCTTAGATCAGGATGGTTCTGCATACCATGAAATAAAATAGGAATCTGCTTCTTGATCACCCTTACCATTTCCAGTTTAGTAGGTGACTATAATCCTGTCTAAATTCCACTGCTCATACTCTATGGTCTGCTCTACCTGTCGTATGCTGGAAGCATCTCTCTGGTGCCTGGGTAGAAGATGCTGATGGCCATCAAGAAGCAAATCCTCGGACCATCTTTCAGCTGTCCCAACAGATGGCTGCTGCCTAAAGTATAAGCTCTAAAAGATACAGAAGCGCTTGCCAAATGTATTAGCAGTGACATAGTAGTGATAATACTGTAAGCTTCAAGGATAGCCCTGAAGTAATCTAAATAGGTCAGAATAATCTGATATATTGTGACATAAAAGTAGACATTATACTTCTTGTCACCATTATGGATCTTAACTCTACTTACAATACAATCTTAAATCGCATCTACAAAAAACAAGGACAACAGTATCTATCTCCCATGGTGACTGAGAGAATTAAATGAGATAATGCATATAAAATTCTAAAACCATTTTGGCTATAGTAAGTGCTCAATGAATGTAAGCTGTTATTCATAATATTAATACTATTGCTAATATTAATAAGAGAAAATGCTATCATCATCATCATCTTTATTGGTAACATAGCTCTGACAAGTCTGGTGCAAATGCTAATTACTTTCTGCTGCTTACTCTTTACTATATTCTGCTCTACCTGCTCCCTGACAGAGCCTAGATCCTGGATTTCACATAAAACATATTCATGGCACTCTGGAAATAACTCCTTTCTCCTTCTTTCACCTGTCATATTATGTGAGGCCTGCCCACAGCTCCTGTGCTAAAAGACAACATGAACACTGGACATAAACGATCCAAGCAGGAGCATCATGCCTGGAGCAACAGTCAAAGCCTTAGTGAAGAGGCAGGAAGTAATTTCAACAGGTCAAAATGGTGTGATACATCACAGAACAAGAGGACATTATATTCCTTGCCCATTATTACCAACCTTAACACAAAAACCTTGAAGCAGTTACTACACTGCCCTGTCAATCTTGAGTCAAAACCAAAGCAATTTACTGTCTACTACTTACTCCTCACTATATTCCACTCTACTTATTCTCTGGGAGAGGCTAAGTCTTGAATACTGGGTGAAACATACCGATGGCACCTGAGAAGCAACTCCTCTTGCAATCTCCCATTTCTCAAAAGATGAGGGCTGTTTGATATATTTTTCCTAAAGGAACAACGAAATACAAAACTGATGTGTCCAAGCACAAATGATGGGCTAGTAACACTATTATAGACCTCAATGACAGTCACAGAGTAATGATACTAGGTGATGATAATAGAGCACAGTTAAACAGATGTGTGTGTGTTTAACATAAAAATTTCTAAACATATACCAAAGCAGGCAAAAATGGTATAATAAATCCCAAGATATCCTTCACCTGGCTTCGACAGTTAGCAACACTTCTCTTTTTCATTTATTCTTCCACTTATTTTCATAGAGTTTTTAAATGCAAATTATTCTGGTACATTTTGAAATTACCAAAGACATTATACTCTTAGCCTAACTCTGGAGGTCTTAATTCTATGTATCCCACAAAGAAGCTAGCTTGACAAGCTTCAGTCCCAATCTCACGTAATACAATCCTCCTACTGTCTTCTGCTCTACCTGTTCTCTAGGGGAGGCTTGGTCCTGGATTTTATTAATAGGTATAACATACTGATGATATTCCAGAGGCAATTCCTCTCTCACTCTTTCATCTCTCATAAAAGATGAGGGCTGCTTGAGAAACATGTTCCAAAGGAACAGGAGAAAACAAACTTTCTAACCAAGACAATATGCTAACCATAATATTGTAAACTCTAGTGAGAACGCCAAAGAAATGATACCAGGCAAAAATATCCTGATACCTTTTGATATGAATGAGGACACTATACTTTTAGTTTAATTCTGTAGACCTTCATTCTTAATTACAAACCATGGACAGAATAGTTGGACAAACTCACCAAATCTTAAATAATTTAGGATCTGATACTTCTTCCTACATTGTTGATGTAGGGGCAGTATGCCTGTGGTAATACTGTGAGCTTCACCAAGAGTTGAAGAATAATCTTGGTAAATTAAAACTGTCTAATTCTAGAATAAGATATGAATGTGACATATCAACTTTTGAAATGACTAAACTGATTTAATATAGTTCACTAGATCAGGGTCTTTTGCACTGTGAAGCGCAAGATAGAACAGAAAGAAAGGAGGAGAGACCAGTAGGAACTGTCTATGCCAATTCTTTCTGTAGCAGGGCCTCTGTTCTAATAGGATTTAGGACTATCTTTCCACTAATATGGGAAAGAATAAAAGATACCATATTCTTAAGTTAGCGCCAAAGTCCCTGATTCTATATTTCAAATTGCCAGTTATTGAGAATTTATAAAACCCAGGTACTTTATTTCTTATATCTTTATCTCCTTTTTTATTCTGCTCCACCTGATCTCTGATGAGGTCCTGGTCCTGGGGTTTAGGAGTCACATACTGATAACCCGCCAGAGAAAAGTCACCTCTCCTTTTTTCATCTGTCATATTAGAGTATGGCTCCTTAAAGTGTACTTTCTAAAAGAAAAAAAATACAAATTATAAATTGTCCAGTAGAAGTAATATAATGGCAATAATATTCTAAGTTTTATTGAGCGCCATCAGGTAATTTTTCAAAAGCCAGGATTAATGTGAAACATAACAAAATAAAACAGAAAATGATTATTTTTTGTGAGCTCTGAAGTTTCGGGGAAAATAATCTTTGCAAGCTTCAAACTAAACCCTAAACAATTCAGTTCCTGCTGGTTTCCGCCCTTTTTCTGTTCTACCTTGTCCTTCATGGAGACCTGATGATGCCTGCATAGAAGATCCCGACGGACATCCAGAGGAAGTGCCTCTCTCCCTATCAACATTGATGTTGGCTGCTTCAAATTTGCTTTCTAAAAAAGAACAGACACAAAATATCAATTGTTCAGTTAAGAACAAGAGGTTAACTAAGACTTTAAATTTTAGTGATAATTCTGGAGTTAACAGAGGTCAGAGTATAACTGGTCATCTTATGGAATAAAACAAAAAACTATATTCCACAAAAGTCCAACCATAACCCTAAGTAATTTACTTCCTGCCTTTCTTCTTCCTTTTGGTCTAACTGATCTCTGGTGGAAGACTGGCCTTGGAACCTGTGTAAAAGGTACTGTTGGGTACTTGTGGGCCACTCCTCTTTCCATCTTTCAGCTGTCAAAGTAGATTTTGGCTGCCAGAAATATTTTTCCTAATGAAGAAGATTAAAAAGGAAAAAGTAAGTTGTTCAGAAAAAAGTAATATGCTACTGCTAATACTTTAACACTTAGTAAGAACCCTGGAGTTTTGAAAACTTAATCAGGAAACTACTTTTCCAACTATGGATTTCCAAATCAGCTACAATATTACAGGCATACTTCATTTTATTGTGCTTCACTTTATTACTAGAGATATTACACTTTTTACAAATTGAAGGTTTGTGCAATGCTATGTTAAGCAAGTCTACTGGTGCCATTTTTCCAACACTTGTGCTCACTCCTTGTCTCTACGTTACATTTTGGTAATTCTCGTAATATTTCAAACTTTTTCATTATTATTATATCTGTTATGGTGATCTGTGATCAGTGATCTTTGATGTTACCATTCTAATTGTACCACAAACCATGCTCATATAATACAGTGAACTTAATTGATAAATGTTATATGTATCCTGATTGCTCTACCATGGGGCCAGCCCCTCCCCCAGCCCACCCTGTTCCCTGAGATACAACAATATTGAAATTAGGCCGATTAATAACACTACAGTGGTTCCTAAGTGTTCAAGTGAAAGAAAGAGCCACATGTCTCTGACTTTAAATCAAAAGCTAGAAATGATTAAGCTTAGTGAGGGAGGCATGTCAAAAGCTGAGACAGATGGAAAGCCAGGCCTCTTAAGCCAAATAGTTAGCCAAGCTGTGAATGCAAAAAAAAGTTCTTAAAGGAAATGTAAAGTGCTACTCCAGTGAACACATGAATAAGAAAGCAAAACAGCCTTGTTGCTGATGTGGAGAAAGTTTGAGTGGTCTGGATTAGAGATCAAACCAGCCACATTCCCTTGAGCCAACTCCTAATCCAGAGCAAGGCCCTAAGTCTCTTCAATTCTATGAAGGCTGAGAAAGGTGAGAAAGGTAAAGAAAAGTCTGAAGCTAGCAGAGGTTGGTTCACTAGGTTTAAGGAAAGAAACCATCTCTATAACATAAAAGTGCAAGGTAAAGCAGCAAGTACTGACATAGAAGCTGTAGCAAGTTATCCAAAGATCTAGCTAAGATCTCTAATGAAGGTGACTACACTAAACAGATTTTCAATGAAAAAAAAAACAGCCTTATATCGAAAGATGCCACCTGGGACTTTGATAACTAGAGAGGAAAAAAATCAACATCTGGCTTCAAAGCTTCAAAGGACAGACTGACTTTCTTCTTAGTGGCTAATGTAGCTGGTGACTTTCAGTTAGAGCCAGTGTACATTTACCATTCCAAAAACCCTAGGGCCCTTAAGAGTGATGCCAAATCTGCTCTGCCTATGCTCTATGAATGGAACAAAGCCTGGATAATAGCACATCTGTTTACAGCATGGTTTACAGAATATTTTAAGCCCACTGTTAAGATCTGCTCAGAAAGGCCGGGCGCTGTGGCTCACGCCTGTAATCCTAGCTCTTGGGAGGCCGAGGCGGGCGGATTGCTCAAGGTCAGGAGTTCGAAACCAGCCTGAGCAAGAGCGAGACCCCGTCTCTACTATAAATAGAAAGAAATTAATTGGCCAACTGATATATATATAAAAAATTAGCCGGGCATGGTGGCACATGCCTGTAGTCCCAGCTACCCGGGAGGCTGAGGCAGAAGGATCACTGGAGCCCAGGAGTTTGAGGTTGCTGTGAGCTAGGCTGACGCCACGGCACTCACTCTAGCCTGGACAACAAAGCAAGACTCTGTCTCAAAAAAAAAAAAAAAAAAAAAGATCTGCTCAGAAAAAAGATTCCTTTCAAAATATTACTGCTCATTGACTATGCACCTGGATACCCCAGAACTCTGATAGAGGCGTACAAGGAAATTAATGCTGTTATCATGCCTGCTGACACAACATCCATTCTGCAGTCCATTGGTCAAGGAATACTTTTGACTTTCAAGTCTTATTAAGAAATACATTTCGATGGCTACACCTGCCATGGATAATCATTCTCCTAATGGATCTGAGAAAAGTAAATTGAAAACCTTCTGGAAAGGATTCACCATTTTATATGCCATTAAGAACATTTGTGATTCATGGGAGGAAGCCAAAATATCAACATTAAGAGGAGTTTAGAAGAAGTTGATTTGAACTGTCATGGATGACTTTGAGAGGTTCAAGACTTCAGTGGAGGAAGTCACTGAAGATGTGGTAGAAACAGCAAGAGAACTAGAATTAAAAGTGGAGCCTGAAGATGTGATTGAATTGCTACAATCTCATGATCAAACTAGCAGATGAAGAGTTACTTCTTGTGATGAGCAAAAAAAGAGGTTTCTTGAGATGGAAACTACTCTTGGTGAATATGCTGTGAACATTGTTGAACTGACAACAAAGGATTTACAATTTTATATAAACTTAGTTAATACAGCAGCAGCAGGCTTAGAGAGAATTGACTCCAATTTTTAAGGAAGTTCAAATGTGGGTAAAATGCTATCAAACATCATCACCTGCTACAGAGAAATCTTTCACAAATGGAAGAGTCAATTGATGTGGTAAACTTCATTATTGTCTTATTTTTAAAAATGGCCACAGCCATCCCAACCTTCAGCTACCACTACCCTGATCAGTCAGCAACCCTCAACATCAAGGTAAGACTCTCCACCAACAAAAAGATTAAAACTCACTGAAGGCTCAGATGATCCTAAGTACTTTTTAGCAATAAAGTATATTTAAATCAAGGTTACGTACATTGTTTTCTTAGACATAATGCTATTGCACACTTAACAGACCATATAATAACATGTAAATATAACTTTTATATGCACTAGGAAACCACAAAATTCATGCGAATCCCTTTATTATTAATACTATATCTGCTTTATTGTAATGATCTGGAAGCGAACCCCCATAATATCTCCGAGGTATGCCTATGGTAATTACAAATCCCACTCCAAACCCTAAGTACCTTATTTTCTTATTATATCTCCTTACCACTCTATTTTACCTGATCTTTGGGTAGAAAATCCTGGTCTTGAAATTTAGGTAGAATATTCTGGTCTATGGGGAGAGCACACTGGTCTTTTGGTAGAAAATCCTGTTTTTGACATTTGGGTAGAATATTTTGCTCTTTGGTTAGAACATGCTGGTCTCTGGATAGAAAATCCTGGTCCTGATATTTGGGTAGAATCTTCTGGTATCTGGGGAGAAAATCCTGGTCCTGACATTTGAGAAGAATATTCTGGTCTTTGGAGAGAACATGCGAGTCTCTTGGTAGAAATTCTTGGTCTTTAGGTACAAAATCCTGATCCTGACATTTGGGTAGAATGTTCTGGTCTTTGGGAAGAAAACAGTGGTCTCTGGGTAGAAAATCCTGGTCTGTAGGTAGAAAATCCTGGTCCTGACATTTGAATAGAACATTATCGTCTTTGGGGGGAACACACTTGTTTCTGGGTAGAAAATCCTGGTCTGTAGGTAGAAAATCCTGGTCCTGACATTTGAGTAGAACATTACGGTCTTTGGGGAGAACACACTTGTTTCTGGTTAGAAAATCCTGGTCTGTAGGTAGAAAATCTTGATTCTGATATTTGAGAAGAATACTCTGGTCTTTAGGGAGAACACAGTGGTCTTTGGGTAGGATATCCTGGTCTTTGGGTAGAAAAGTTTGGTTTGGGGATAGAAAATGCTGGGCTGCCAACACAAAACTCCCATCTCCTAACTCAAAACTCTGGGCTTTCAGTATAAAACCCTGAGTTGCTGTCTTAGCCTGGCCGTCTAGCTCAATGGCCTGGTCTTCTGGCTTACCAAACTCGCATTCTGGCTCAATAGCCTGAGTATCTGGCTCAAAACTCTGAACTTCCAGCTCAACACTCTGAATTCCTGTCAAATCACCCTCAGTTTCTGGCACATCACCTTGAGTTTCTGTAAAATAATCCTGGGCTTCTGGCAGAATATCTTTAAGGCCCTGAAGATGTAACTGCTTTTCCTCTTCCTCTTCTATCTTAACAAATGGATTTTTGAATTTTATTTTCTAAAAGTGAACATAAACATAAAATATAAAATGTCAGGTAGTAGCAATACTCAAGGTTTTTTGCAAGATTCCTAAAATAATCTTAAAATAATATGGCAGTCAAACAAATTACTAGAATAAAATGTGAAATTATAGTCTTTGCCTAACTTAACAAAACCTAAATCTACAATCCTAAACCAATACAACAGTATTGGCAATACCTAGTCCAAATCTCAATTAGTTTACTTTCTCTTATTGCTTTACCTGAACTCTGCTGAGAGGCTTGTCCTGGTCTTCAGAAAGAATATCCTGCTGGTTGCTCCCAAACAAATTTTCTCTCCCTTTCTCGTCTGTCACAACAGATGAAGATTCCTCGTAGGCAAGTTCCTAAAGAAAAAACCAAAATTAAAAAAAAAAACACAAGATTTAGCTATTAAAGTAGAAACAATGTGATTGCAATAAAATCCTAGGCTTCAAGATACTGCTAATATAATTTCAGTGGGTCAGCAGAGTCAAACATTATAAAATGTTTACACTGTAGGACTGTACACTGAAGACCATAGAGCATTGTTGAAAAAAATTAAAGATGATCTAAATAAATGGAAAGACACCGCGTTCATGAATCAAGAGAAAATATTGTTAAGATGTTAGTATTTCCCAAATTGATCTATAGATTCAAAATACCTATCAAAATGACACTATTTTTTTACGGGAGGGGACAGATTAATTAATAAGCTAATCATAAAATTCATATGGAAATGCAAGGGACCCATAAGAGCAAAACATTCTTCAAGACAAAGTTGGAAGTTTCATTCTTCCCAATTTCAAAACCTACCACAAAGCTATAGTAATTAAGACACTGTGATACGGGCACAAGAGCAGACATACAGATCAATGGAATATAATTGAGAGTTCAGAAACAAACTCTCACATTTATAGTCAATTGATTTTCAACAAGGGTGCCAAAACAATCCAATGAGGAAAAATAGTCTTTTCAACAAATGGTGCTGGGAATAACTGTATATCCACATTCAAAAGAATGAAGATGAACCACTTCTTCATAGCATACATAAAAATTAACTCAAAATAGATCATAGGCTGGGCGTGGTAGCTCACACCTAGCACTCTGGAAGGCCGACGCAGGAAGATCATTTGAGTTTAGGAGTTCAAGACCAGCCTGAGCAAGAACAGGACCCCATCTCTACTAAAAAAATAGAAAGAAATTAGCTGGACAACTAAAAAAAAATATATATATATATATATATATATATACATACACACACACACACACACACACATATAAAAATTAGCCAGGCATGGTGGTACATGCCTGTAGTCCCAGCTACTCGGGAGGCTGAGGCAGGAAGATCACTTGAGCCCAGGAGTTTGAGGTTGCTGTGAGCTAGGCTGATGCCACGGCACTCTAACCCAGGCAACAGAGTGAGATTCTGTCTCAAAAATAATAATAATAATAATAAGATCACAGACCTAAAAGTAAGTGCTACAACTATAAAATTCTTAGAAGAACGCATAGGAGTAAATTTTCATGATCTTGTGTTAAAAATGTTTAGTAGATATTACATCAAAAGCACAAACAAAAAAAGAAAAAAATTGGACTATACCAAAATTAAAAATTTTGTGCTGGCCGGGTACAGTGGCTCACGCCTATAATCCTAGCACTCTGGGAGGCCAAGGCAGGAGAATCATTTGAGCTCAGAGTTCAAAACCAGTCTGAGCAAGAGCAAGACCTCATCTCTACTAAAAAAATAGAAAGAAATTAGCTGGACAACTAAAAATATATAGAAAAAATTAGCTGGGCATGGTGGCGCATGCCGGTAGTCCCAGCTACTTGGGAAAAAGGACTACCTTCAGCTGAGGCAGAAGGATTGCTTGAGCCCAGGAGTTTGAGGTTGCTGGGAGCTAGGCAGACACCATGGCACTCTAGCCCAGGCAACAGAGTGACACTCTGTCTCAAAAAAAAAAATTTGTACTGCAAATTATACCATTAATAAAGTGAAATGACAACCCACAGAATGGGAGAAAATTTTTTTGATAAAAGACTTGTATCCAGAATATATAAAGAGCACTTACAGCTTTATATATTTAATATATAAAGATAAATAATCCAAATAAACATCTGAATAGACATTTTCTCCATAAGAAGTATACAAATGGGTAATATATTAGCACATGAAAAAATATTAAATATCATTACTCATTAAGAAAATGCTAATCAAAAGTACATTTTAGCCAGGCGAGGTGGCTCATGCCTGTAATCCTAGCACTCTGAGGCCGAGGTGGGCGGATTGCTCGAGGTCAGGAGTTCGAAACCAGGCTGAGCAAGAGTGAGACCCTGTCTCTACTATAAATAGAAATTAATTGGCCAACTAATAGATATAGAAAAAATTAGCCAGGCATGGTGGTGCATGCCTGTAGTCTAAGCTACTTGGGAGGCTGAGGCAGCAGGATTGCTTGAGCCCAGGAGTTTGAGGTTGCTGTGAGCTAGGCTGATGCCACGGCACTCACTCTAGCCTGGGCAACAAAGCGAGACTCTGTCTCCAAAAAAAAGTACATTTTAGTGGATGTGAAGATATTAACCACTTCATGTCCACTAGAATAGCTATAATCAAAAAGACAGACAATAACAAGTGTTGGAGAGGATGTGGAGAAATTACAACCCTTATATATTGCAGGTGGAAAACAGTTTGGCAGCTCTTTAAAATGTTAAACATAGACTTACTGTATGACCCAGCAATTCCACTCTTAGAAATGAAAGTCCCAAAAGAAATGAATGTCCACACAAAGACGTGTACACAATTGCTTATAACACAATTATTCATAAAAGTCAAGAAGTAAAAACAACCCAAATGTCCACCAACTGAGAAACAGATAACCGAATGTGGTACAGACATACAATGGCAATAAAAACAATGAAGTACTATACTTATACATTCATTAAAATGTGGATGAACCTTGAAACGTTATACATAGTGGAAAAAAAATAGTGACAAAAGATCACATATCATATATTCCATTTATATTAAATGTCCAGAATAAATACACCTATAGAGACAGAAAGTAGATTAGTGATTGCTTACCACTGTGTTTAGGGGGAGGGAAAGAACAGGGTATGGGGGCCTCTTTTAAAAGTAAAGAAAATGCTCTAAGTAAGATTGTGGTAACAGTTGCACAACCTCATGAATATACTAAAAACCAATGAATTGTACACTTTAAATGGGTGAATTGTATGGTATATGGATTATATTTTAATAAAGTTTGGTTTAAAAAAATATTGGACATTGTAATCTTAACCCTTAATCCTATCCTTAATTAGCTGTGGATAGTTCTAACAAGCCATTGTTTCTCCCCTCTATTCTTTACATTTCCCTACCTGAATTTTGATAAAATTCTGGTAATGTACAGTAGTTAAAAGACCTTGATGGATGTTAAAGGGAAACTCTCCTCTTCTTTCTATATTTATGCTGATGGATGCTGGTTTTCTAGAAAGTACTCTCTGGAAAAAATAAATAAATACAAATATAAATAGCTCTAGGGAAAGCAATATCCTCATGATACTAAGTTGAGTTTTTATGACAGATCTAGAATGATTTTAGAAAGCTTTGGTAGTCTAATGTAGAATAAAAGAAAAAAAATAATGAGTTTGAAGTTTACTTCAAAAGTACAAACAAATCACCCATATATCAAACATATGGAATGAAATAGAATGGTAAGAGAATATATTAACTGTATAAATGACAACTTGTCCATATTCTAGCCAGTGACAGTTTCAGAATATTCATGATTTTAGTCTTTGTGATCTGACAGAGGGCAAGCAAGTATATGTTCTACTTGTATTTCCAAATCTTGAACATTATAACAACCAGACAGATTCTAATATCACTAAAGTCTAAAAAGGATATGAAACTGGGGTTCAACTCAGTTATACATTGTCCTTTCTGACTGGCAGTTTCCCATTTCGCACAACTGAGAGGGTAGAAAAATCTTCAGATTTGAAGGAAAGACTTGATATAAATGATAAGAAAAATTTCACTAATTTCTCATTAGTAGATTAGATTTGTTTCTGATATTTCTTCCTGAAAAACACATGTAATCTTTGGAAGCAAGCCGTCAGCCTGAATTCATCACACTATAACAATAATGAATTACACTTAAATGGCACCTCTGACGTATAAAACTGGTTTATACAAGGATGTTATCTCCAACTTAATCCTCCCTTATACTGGATAATTATTTCTGTCAGACCTATGAATAGTATTCTTTCTGGAAAAACACCAAGTGGAAGGTCTAAGTATGTTCCAAACAATTTAAAATACCAGTCTTAGGATCTGATAACCCCTTTTTTTTTTTTGGTTTATTAGAAAGTGTCTAATCACCTCATTCTAACAGTATCCTGGTGTCAGTCTAATGGCTCAAATTATGATACTGCCAAATCCATGGTAGGAATTAAATTGTAAAGAAACCAAGCCTCTGGGAAGAATTTAGGTACAAAAGAAATTCTATCTTGAGAGCCACAACAACCCTAGAAAAAGGGAACCACCATAATGAATGGATCTAGGATATGTTGCTATATGTGGACATACCTATGCCAACTTGTTTTTAACATTTAATTATAAATTTCTTAATTATCACTGAAAAGGGAGATATTATAGTTTAATATTCAACCAAACATAGAGGAGACAAATGTTTTTGATGGTTAAGATTCTTAAGGAAAAATTACAAAAAAACAAATATATATATATATATGTATATATATATATATGTATATATATAAAATCCAGGAAAATGTAGAGAAGACAGTTGAAGATGGCAAAAAAATAATAAAGTAAACAAGACTAATGGTCTATTTTACTAGATGCTGCATATCAAAATTTGAAATTAATGCCAAAGTTAAGTAAACACCGGAAAACACATGAACTTAGCATCCAAATTTGTGAACTCTGAAATAAGCAGACTCCAAAACAATGTCATTTTACAAGTATAGACTTAAATATCCTTTTAGGTCTAGCTCCACATTTAGATTCCAATTATTCACTCTAACTTTATGTTTTGTATTGATTTTATTCCTGATCAGAAGTAAAATAGATTTATGAAAAATTTTTTAAATAAAAAATTTTTTAAATAAAAACATAAAGAGAAGAAAATATTACTACCCAGAAATAATCACTATTAACCTCTTGTGCCATTTTTATCCAGGCTTTTGTCTACGCACAAAGCATTCTCTCTTCATCTCTTTATTTTGCTTTATTTTCCTTCATAGCACTTAACATTTGTAATTATATTTTGTATTTATTTAATTATTTATTATATGCTTCCCTACTAGCACAGAAGCTCCCTGAGGGATCTTTGTCTATCTTTTCACCACTGTAAGTCCTGTTTCTAGAACAATGCCTGGCAATCATGGACATCCATAAATATTTATTAAATATATATTTTTAAATTGAGATATCATATATAACTTTGTATCCAACTTTATCATTTAACTTTACTTTTCCTTTCACTTTCTCTTATCCTCAGATACTCTTTGAAAACACAAAAATTTTTAGAATGGTTGCATATGGATATATCATAATGTATTCAAGCATTCCTTACTATCAGATATTTAAGATTATTTCTAATTATTTAACAGTTCTAAATTATGCTGAGATATAAATAAATCTTTATCTGAAATTCTTATCTCTATATTTATTTGTTTGTTTATATTCAGGAAATTATGGGGGTACAAACATTTTGGTTGCATGTAATACATTTGCACTGCCCAAGCTAGGGCTACAAGTGTGTCATTAGTTGTGGGTTTACCCCTCCCCAACCCTTTCCCCAACTGGCACCCAATGAGTATTACTACCATGTGAACACCTTAGTGTTGGTCATATCTCTATTTTTAAAAACAATGCATTCGAAATTAATTTACCTCTTGGGTGGGAACGCTTTTCCTTCCATCATCTGGAAACACTGATGCCTTTTCTTTAGTCACAGTTTTAAAGGATGCCAGCCGGTGACGTGCCTGTTTCATAGTTTGACTAAGCTGTCAGGGAAAGAGAAAAAAAGCAAACCAAAATAGGTTAAAGTGGTTTTGGGGGGTTTTTTTTTCAGTTTTTTAAAATTGATATGTTATATATTTATGGGGTTCAGGCATTTGTTACATGCATAGAATGTGTAATGACCAAGTTGGGATATTTGGGGTACCCATCATCTTGAGTATTTACCATTTCTGTGTATTGGGAACATTTTCAGTCCTCTCTTCTAGCTACTTTGAAATATTCAATACATTGTTAATAACTATAGTCACCATACTCTTCTATCAGTAGAATTTATTTCTTCTATTTAGTTGTATTTTTGTACCCATTAACCAACTTTTCTTCATCCCCATCTCCCACTCACAGACTCTTCCCAGCCTCTCATATCTACCATTCTATTCTCTCAGGTTAAAGTCTTAATACTACATGTACCAAGTGTTCCAACAGGAAAACAGCTCCCTATTATTAAAAAATGCCAGACCAAAGACAAGAGGATTACTTGAAAAGGATACTTTGATTTGCTGATAGTGTGGTACATTATGGTCATTATTCTGAGAGACTGTACTTCACAATTTGATTTAAAGGCTGTTACTCAAATCAATTTTTATAATGTATGCCTCATATTAAGTAGATACACAAAAATATCAGAATTTAAAATCTAAATTAATACACTTGGAAATTACTGAGCTAACCTATTCCCTACCTTCTATCCATCTTTTCAACAGGGAGTTATTTCTTCAACTGGTCCTTATGTGCTTAATTTTTTATCACTCCTTGCTAGAAGACTATTTCTAACTCCCTTAAAACCTTTTTTGTCCTTTATTTACATGAGTCCTTCCTCCACCCCTAATATTTGAAGACTAAAACTAGTCTTTTCCCAGATCTCCCTTTCTCCAGGAAGCCTTCCTAAATTATTAGGTCATTAAATATGAAATGTCTGATTTCAAATCAAAAGTTTAGTTTATTGTATCTCAAATAAGAAGCAGTACAATTAATGAAAGTATGCACCTAAACTCTTAACACAGTTTTGCTATCTTAACGGTAGCTTGTTTATGCCAGCAACGAAGAAGCCTGGAGAGTGAGTGGCAATGAAATTTTGAAAGGCATTTAACAGAGCTTGTTGATAATTGAATATTTTTCCTTGCAAGAAGTGGTCCAAAGCCTGGAAGAAGTGGTAGTTGGTGCAACATCTGGTGAATAAGGTGGATGACGGAGAGTTTCCAAGTCCAGCTGCTGTAGTTTTGAGCAGTGTTGTTTGTACAATGTGTGGTCAAGCATTATCTTTTTTTTTTTCCGACATATTATGGGGGTACAGATTTTAAGGTTTCAATAAATGCCCCTTCCCCCTTCCCCCCCCAAGTCTGAGTCTCCAGCACGACCATCTCCCAGATGGTGCACATCTCACTCATTATGTATGTATATACCCGCCCCCCTCCCACCTGCCCAATACCCTATTACTGTAGTACCTATGTGTCCACTTAGGTGCTGCTCAGTTAATACCAGTTTGCTGGTGAGTATATGTGGTGCTTGTTTTTCCATTCTTGGGATACTTCACTTAATAGTATGGGTTCCAGCTCTAACCAGGAAAATATAAGATGTGCTATATCACCGTTGTTTCTTTAAAGCTGAATAGTACTCCATGGTATACATATACCACATTTTATTAATCCATGCTTGGATTGATGGGCACTTGGGCTGTTTCCACAGCCTTGCAATTATGAATCGTGCTGCTATAAACAATCAAGTGCAGGTGTCTTTTTTGTAGAGTGTCATTGGATCTTTTGGGTAGACGCCCAGTAATGGGATTGCTGGATCAAATGGTAGACTCAGTTGTATCGCTTTAAGGTATCTCCATATTGCTTTCCACAGAGGTTGAACTCAAGCATTGTCTTGCAAGAGGATTGGCCTGTCTCTGTTCAGCAATCTCAGCTGCTTCCACACAAGCACTCTCATCATTTCATCCAACTGGTTGCAGTACACATCCATTATAATCGAATGGCCAGGTTTCATAAAGCTGTAGTGGATAATAACAGCGCTGGACACCATTAGACACCATTAGCTTTTCTGGATGAATATTTGGTTTTGGACTGTGTTTCGGCACTTCATCTTTAGCCATTGTGCTGAATGCATGCAATTGTCAAAAAGACCCCTTTTTCATCACACATAACAATATGATGTAGAAATGGTTCACCTTTATGTCATGACAGCAAAGAAATGTAAGCTTTGAGACGATTTCTCTTCTGACACTCGTTTAATTCATGCAGAACCCATCTATCCAGATTCTTTACCTTACCGATTTGTTTCAAATGGTCACATATTACTGGAATAGCAATGTCAAACCTTGCTGCTAATTCACATGTAAGTTGAGATGGATTCGCTTCCACTACAGCTTTCAGCTCATCATTATCCACCTTGGTCTTAGGTCACCCACAAGGCTCAATTTCAAGATTGAAATCACCAGAACAAAACTTCTCAAACCATCGATATGTGCGTTCATTAGCCACATCCTTCTCAAACACTTTGTCAATATTTCGAGTTGTCTGTGCTGCATTGGTTCCATAATGGAACTTATATTCGAAAATAACACAAATTTTTTACTTATTCATGGTTTCACAAAATTGCTCTAAAATTTTTTTGAAAGATAATCACAAGCCAAAACGTGCATTTGAAAGACTGAGGAGGTATCTTCACAACAAAAATAAAACAAGAAGTGTCAAAGTGAGACAGATATAAGACATAAGAGATATCAACTGTCAAATTTAGTACTTAAGAAAATCGGACAATTCAGATTTAATAACCTAATAACTTAGAACAGAAACTCAAACATCTCAACAGAACCAATTTGTTTCAACTACTCTAAGTAATATTTGATAAATGACTATTAATATTAAATATGTTGACTTTATGTCCATTCCTTATCTCTATCTATTAATAACAATTAATAATAACTTCTTCCAGTGATATGCACCTATGCACCTATTTCACAAAACTGCAAAGAATATCCCATTAGGGGAAAGAAGAAATAAACTATGTATTTTTTAGGATATGCACTGCATCATGTGGAGGAAAAACATATCCCCATACTACTCAGTGAAATTAGAGTAAAGCCAGGACCACTTCTAACCCATTCATTGAAAGTTTAATGATATCAATTATCTCTTGAAGGGAAATGATGACTATGACTTTTAGATGTAAGTAACAAACACTTTATGATTTTTACTAATAAAAAGCTAGGGATAAAAACACTCTCTCACTACCAGCCCAGTTTGTGTGTGTGTGTGTATGTGTGTGTGTGCGTGTGTTTTAAAAACAATGTATCACCTCTGCTCTGTCCTTGCCTCTAGAGGTCTATACCTCTAGCCAAAAAAATCAGATTGAAATATATTACTCTTTGTTCTGCCAAAAGGAGGACTTCTAGATTTGGTTAGCTGCAGAGCGGATAAAAGCGTCAAGATAGAGTTATTCACAATGCAAAAACAGATATACATTTACTCAAAGTTATTTAAAAAAAAACACAGAGCCATGAATATACCTGCTTTTATTCATTGCTGTAAGTATGGGAGGTATCAGTGCCCCATACTATGTGACCAAGGATTCAAAATCTCCATTGTAACAGATTTAAAATAGGGGTTCAGAATCTTCATTTCCCCATCAAATCCAAACTTCTATTAGAGTCAAATTGATTATAGTCCTATAAACAGGATATTTATATATCCAGCAGTTGGAATATGCATCATCTTTATTCTGTTTCTCTGTCATTACCATAACCCTTCACCAAATCTCAACTTCGGAAAGGCCCTTTCAGTGACCTGTCATGAGGGTTGTAGTAGACAGAATAATGGCCAGCCAAAGATACCAGGTCCTGAACCCAGGAACCTGTAAATGTTATTTTATAAGGAAGAAGCGCCTTTCCAGATGTGATTAAGTTAACAGTCTTGCGATGGGGAGATAATCCTGGATTATCCAGATGGGCCCTAACTGCCACCACAAATGCCCTTAAAAGAGACAGGTAGAGGGAGATGCAACATACAGAAGAAGAAAAGGTAATGTGAAGATAACAGGCAGAGATTGATGTGGTGCAGTCACAAGAAAGGAATGCCAACAGACACCAAGAGCTGGAAAGTCAAGAAACAAATATTCCCCTAGAATCTGCAGAGCATGGCAGTGCTGACACCTTGATTAAGGTTCAGTGAAACTGATTTTTGACTTCTGGCCTCCAGAACTGTGAGAGAATAAATTTCTGTCATTTTAAACCATTAAATTTCAGGCAATTTGTTACAGCAGCCACAGGAAACTAATATATAGACCAAAGTTAGTAAAGAATTAAACAAAAACATAGAAAATAAGGGGATATTATAAATAAAATTATCTAATAATTAAAGTTAACAGATTTATAAGTATATTTCTCTTATTGCAAGATAATGATGATCATTACCTGTATATGTGTGTGAGTATGTGTACAGGGTGGGTGTGTATATATTTATTTTTATGTATGTGTACATATTTAAATGTGTAGGTTTAAGTGTGCATATGTGTATGTGCATGTGTTATATGTGTGTAAATACTCAAAATATAAAATTTGAAGAAAATTTTTTCATACTAGAATGTTAGGCACACTCTTTATTCTTTTGTAGCTGTTAATTGTTATTAACGAAGACTAGCAGTAAATCTCTGACCAAAACTTAAAGATTCCCTGATGGAAATGAATTACTCTTAATTACAGAGAAAACCTAGCAAATGAAAAGTCAATATAATTATAACTACAGGTAAAATAAAAACCATACATAGAAGGAAAGTAATCATAGTTTACTCTTGCCTCACCTATAATTAGTGTTTCCATAGTCATAACAATATAACTATAAAGAGAGGGTGAGGGATGGAAACAGTACATGTGTAGTGGCAGCAGGGGATAGAAAGGGAGCGAAATCTTCATCCTTCCTAGTGGGACTCAATAGAAATGTCTAAATTTTTTTTGAAAAATCAAGAAGGAACACTATAAGCATATTACTTAGAAATATAAATTAATATCAAAAGAGAAAACTAAAAGAATTCAAATAGTTGCTTTTCAGGAGAAGGAAATGAGGGAATGGACAAAGTATTTCTGTTTTTTAAATTATAAATATTGCTACAACTATGTATTTTACTTGTTTAAACTATGTGCATATATATTTTAATAACACTGAAAATTTAAAAAAGGGAAAAAAAATTCCCTGACAATTTCTCTCAAAAAGCTTACTCTCTATGAACCACATAAGCATGTACATGCATTTTGGGTTTTCATATTGTGTATATATATATATGTATGTATATGTATATATGCACATATATCAGACTTTAGGAAAATCCTAGAGAACATGAGCCTAAATTTTCTTCCATCCAGTAGAAAAACCATTGCCAACAAAATTTTGCTTGCAGTAAGCACTAGAGACTATATCCCAGAAGTACCACACAACCCACAAGCCCTAATAAAGGGGCAGCCCTTGGTAGCCTCCTCCCTAGCCTTAGCTGATTGGAGCAGGGGTTACATAGTAGTATATCAAGTTAATATAGGTCTTGATGCAATGTCTTCTGCATACAAAAGGTGAATTTTGCACACAGTAACATAACTTTAACAATTAGCAAAGGAAACTGGGCACAGTGATATGTGCCTATAGTCCCAGCTACTCGGGAGGCCAAGATGGGAGGACTGCTTGAGCCCAGGAGTTCGAAGGCCAGCCTGGGCAACATAGCAAGACACCCCCATCTCTAGACCTAGACCTAATGCAAAAAGGCCAGCTGGGCCAATAAAGATTCCTAATCTCAGATAATGAACTAAGAAATATTCAGATAAAAGTTGAAGACAGGACCTGAACCTAAAAGGTCCTAAACTAGAGAAAAGAGGCAAAAGGAGCCTTAAGTATGCCAAAGTTACTAAGCTGTGAAGAGAAGAGAATAGCAATTAGTAGTAGAAAAATAAGTAAATAAGAGAGAAGCACACATGTAGAGAGAGAGTGACTATCCCAATTTTGCCTGAAACTGTTCCAGTTTTAGCACTGAAAGTCCCATGATCTGGGAAACCCCTCAATAGTAAGCAAATGGGGAAGGCTAGTCACCCTATAAGAGCAACTGAATCAATCAAGTTAATGATTAAATACTAGTGTGAAGATCAAAGATCCCATGCTCTTGGGGCCATTGGAGCTACCTGAGATCCAGAAAAACTCTCCAGTTGCAGACTTTCTAAGGGAGTTTGGACTTGTATGAGATTCTGATTCTTCCTTTATTATCCCATATGTATTGCTGACATAAACCTTCTCCTTACTTGGGTTAGCTGGAGTTCTTGCAGCCAAAAGAGCCTAACTGAAACAGTAAGTTTTTCCAATGGTAGATCACAGAGAATTTAGCAAGTTATTTTACATTACTTAAACCTTTACTACAGAAAGTAATTATTTCTAGGGTTTTAAAAAGCTGGAAAACTGGTACTGTGAAGAGGGAATAAAAATGAAAACAAGATAGTATAAGACTGAATGAGAAACAAATAAAAAGCTGGAATAGACCAGGCTAGAAAAAAAATAGTGGCAAACTGAATAATATATAGATAAATAAAAAGTTACTATATGGTGAGAATAAAACAATGATTAGTTATTCTTCAATTCCCCTCCAAAATGCAGTTGTCAAGGGACACCATAGGAACTCAATGCCTAAAGATAAATATCAGTCCTAACAAAAAAAGGGGCTTGGTTCTATTTTATGTGACCACTTGGATTTCTTCCAGTTCTACAATTCTTGTTCCTAACTTTAGGTGCCTAATCTTATCTGATCTTCAAACAGGAAGGCAATACCAAATATTAAGTAAAGACTGGTGTGGGGTGGAGGTGGCAAAATAAAAGAGACTCTACCAAATCACATTTTAAACATAGCATTGTGTTCACTTTGGGGGTTCATATTTGGAGAAGAATATTAAAAATTAAAATAGCATGTAGAAGAAATTTACCAAGGCATTAGCAATATAGAAACACCCCAAAAGAAAAATGATAACTATAATTAAATACTTGAAGTGCTCTTAGGTGGTATTTTATTCTTTATTACTTGAGGGCAAAACTAGGACCAATGGATAAAAGTTATAGGGAGGAAGATTTTGACTCAATATGTTGAAAAAAATCGCAATAATTTTAAGCCTTCTAAAAATGAAAGAAACAGTCTGAGAAAATAGCAGATTGCCCGACAGTGGAAGTATTCTAGCAAAACTTAGATAGCCATATATACTGTGTTTCCCCAATAGTAAGACAGGGTCTTATATTTACTTTTACTCAAGAAGATATCCTAGGGCTTATTTTCAAGGGATGTGTTATTGTTTTTAAGTACAGTACAACGATCTACATTTATTCAAATATAGTTAAGTCATCTTCTTCTGGAACATCATCATAACTCTCCAAACCCCGACTTCCATCCTGAATTTCTTGCAACTATTTCCTTTAGAACCATTGGCCCCAGTCTCTCATGTCGAGCAATAGAGCTCTCATGGGGCAGATGAGAAGGGCTGCTCAGCTTCTTTACCACTCCGAGATGAAATGCATGGGTTGTGCAGATATGCTGCATAGCTACGCCCATCACTAGGTCTTATTTTTGGGGTAGGGCTTATATTGCACAAATGCTTAGAAATCCTGCTAGGGCTTATTTTATGGGTAGGTCTTATTTTGGGGGAAACATGGTATATTAGAGATGGTATAAAAAGAATTCCTTAGAAAGAAAAAGGCTAGACCAGATAATATCCTTTTTTAACATTTAAGGTTTAGATAAATTCAAACATATACAGAAGTAAACAGAACACTATAATGAACCTCCCTCCATGGACATATCACCCAGTGTTAACTTTATTAACTTCTAGCTTGCTTTATCCATAACTCCCTACTTTACCACACCCTTATATTATTTTGAAGTATATTCCAGACATCAAATCATTTCATCCTTAAATATTTCAACACGTCAAGTGAACTTTTAAACTCTTCCAACTGTAAGATTCTATGTTTCTATAGCTCTGACACAAGAAAACTGAAAAGTCTACTAAGATGCAGAAAGTGAATTATGTTCACCATTTGTTTTATCAGTTCTAAATAAACTAAGGGAGTTAGTGTGCTTGAACACTCATTGTCCAGTTTCCTAGTGACATCTAGTGGATAAAAACTGTAACAGAAGTGGTCACGATTAAAAGGCATCTATTGTCATGGAGTTGTAAGGGCAAAAGTTTACAGGCCCAAAATAGTTATTTACGTCACTAAACATTTTTCCTTTCAAGGGAAAAAAAAAAAAACAGGGCATAAAAGCTTTGTAAAATTGTATAATATTTAAGGCTTTTCATAACCTGATCTCCTCCTAACTTCATTTTCTGTTTCACTCCTTTATAAATTATCAATTAGAAATGCACCATCACTTATAACCAAATATATCAAGCTCACTATAGGTTCTAGGCTTTAAACTGTTCCTTCCATCTCAATTCTCTTTAATTTACCAATTAAATTCAGTTTACCAATTCAAATTGTATAGTTCAATTACATCTCTTCCATCAATTCTTCCCCTATTATTTCCTTGGAATTTAAAAATTTCTGAACTTCCATAGCACTTTATTGCAAAATATAGCAAATGTCTCCACACTATTATCTAATAGACTAGGGGTCTATTACTTTTATATCTCTACCTGGAAATATAACCCATCGAGGGTCCTATTTAACATTTCATTATTATCCCTACAATGCTTAAAAAACACAACATATTCAAATACTGCTACCTGAGGTGTTCTAATCACATATTACACAGATGAAGTAAAATCCTCACTACAGTGAGCTGTATAGCTATAAGCACGATGAAAACAAGGACTGTGTCTATCTTAGTCAATGTTTTATCCTTCATACTTTATGTAGTGCTAGTTCAATAAATATTTACTAAACAAATTGTTTATAATCTTAAAAAAGACAAAAAAGATTATAAAAATGACTATTACAAAGTGAAAAACAACAAGAAAATGTCAATAGTTTTGGACAAAGAAAAAAATTTTTAAAGTATTTCAGCATGATAAAACATGCTTCTAAAGCTTTCCTTATTTATACTATTAGCACAATCAGATTATGATCAAGCATGTTAATTTAGGCAGTAATATAGCTTTTATTTTCACATACTCTTCATTTTCCACATTTTCTCTCTTGCTCTCACCATCCCTAGAAATATGTTTTCAAGTAAGATGAAGAACAATTACCAAAGCAGAGTTGAAAACTATATCAATTGGACAAAAGCTGAGGTGCACTAAGGAGGAAGGAAGTTGGCTGGATGGAATAAAGTGATTTGAGTAGATGAGTCTACTCACAGTAATTAATTTTTTAATTTTAGTTATATAAAATCAGTCACTAAATAAAATTTACATTTTCCCCAAACTGTGGATATGTTAAGGATTAATTATATTACTTAACCTACAACTACAGATCCATTAATTGTGATAATCAGATTAAAAAAACAGAAATAAGAAAAAAGAGACAAAGATAAATAATAAATGAAATGCCCCTTATAGGTACTGAACCTTTTTGCAACAAAGGTAAGAATTACTTCTGTCTATGCTACAAACTGACAATAACTTACCCAGAACATAATTTCAGTATAATTAAGAAATTCTATGTTCTTTGATCTAAACCTCTTTCTAATATTTTGAATTCTTATACTTTGCCATCTGTCTTTAGATAATTCTAAAATATCTCAATAAAAATAATATAAGTCTAAAATGTATATATAAAAACAAGCATTATCCCCACTATTCCCCCAAGGGTAAAAAAGGGGGTGATTAAAAAACAAAGTTGAACTTAAACTTAATCTCTTAACTTAAACTTAATCCCTACTTCATATCCTATATATATCATATTTTTAGTTTTGAGGATAGAGAAAAAAAATTATAGACATAAAATAAAATGAACATGTACTTACAGCCTGGGCTTGTTGTTGGAATAATTCATTCTGATTCTCTCCATTTTCTATTTTATCCTCAAGCATCTGAGAGGCGGGCAACCTAGAACTTCCAATAGCAGCATTCAAATTGTGTGGATAAACACTTGTCCTTTTAGGAGTTAAATATGCTGGATCTGAAGATTGCATGGCTATAGAGCCTTCTTTTTCTGCCTACACAAAGGAAGAAAGGGGATAGTAAGATTCCACTTCAACTCAAGCAATCAAATAACACCTCTAAGCAGTCCAGAAGATTTTAAAATGGGGAAGAGGGCAGGCGGAGAGTTTAGCTGGCAAAGGAACTAATGTTTACCAGGTACCTGGTAATAATAATTTAGTTTACCTCATCTAATTCTCACACAATCCTGTGGGAGAAGTAGCATATCCCCATTTTATAGATGGAGAAACTATAATCAGTGAAGTTAAGTAATTAGCCCAAGGTCACACAGCTAATAAGTGGCAAAGCTAGAATTCGAACTCAAGTCCAAAACCAAAACTCTGACATTGTTTCTAACTATTTGGTGAAAGCAAAACAGTGAGTCAAAACACCATAGCAATGAAACATGGTTTCTATACATACTAGTGGCCTCACTAGTTATTCAGTGATATAAAGTGATATGTAATCAAAAAAAAGTAATTCCATTACTGCCTAATTAGCTTATCTCCTAACATACATATTTCCTTATTTCTTTTTTGTGGGGGTGGGGTTTGTCCTTTTACAAACCCTTGTGTCAAGGGCTACACACATACTTTCTTACTCAGGCTCACTTTTGAACTTACTGCTTCATAAAACTTCTGAAGCTGTTGCTTTTTCCTCAGCCTAATTTGTTGATTTACTCGGCGTTTGACTTGTCTCTGAAAACATTTCAAAGCTTCTTGTTTTTTCCTTAGCTGTTCCTTTAGTTCTTCTTCAATAATATATGCTGAAGTCTTTAAAGATAAAAGATAGAAAATGAACTTAAAAGTCAGCAGTTTTGTCCATTAGGGCTGTTGTAAACACACAACTCACGCACAGCTAGTGAGTACTAACAAATTAAACCAAATCACAATCTAAAAATTGGAATTTGTGAGTACTCAAATCAAATCTTAATTTTTTATTGAACTGGAACTAAAGGTGTCTTCACTATTCTTAATGAACTAATGCAAACCAATCTTATGTTACACATTTCCTAAAAAGAGTAAACAGCCCAGCCACACCAGATTGCTCACCACCAAATATATCCTATTGTAAAATGACTTTATATTCAGATTTATGCTTCATTTTTAACCTTGCATGACCTTCCTCTCATCTCCATCTAGTAAAGACCTACTCAGTCTTCAAGACTACCTAATACCTACCCCAGGTACCTTCCACAACACTGCCTTCCTCTGAGCTCTCTTATGCTATGGCAACTCTCATTTTACTGATAGTACAGTACTTCCTGATTCCCCTGCTAGAGTCAGGGGAGAGCGGGAAATGTATTTAATTCTCCTTTGTTTCCCCTACAGCATACCATACAGAGCGTTAACTTTAAAGGTACTCGATAAATATTTATATAATTATTCAATTCCAAAACATATTCTAAACAATCTGGAACATCTTATTTCATTTGAGTCCCTGATCTGCATTCACCTCCTCTAAGTGCTCTGAATAACAATCACAGTCAGCATAATAACAGTAATGTTATTAAGAACATGCACTTTACATTATACTACTCTATCCTCAAAACTACCTTTGGTAGTAGGTACTTTTGCCCCTTATGTTATAGATGAGGAAGCTGGAGTTCAGAAAGATTAAGCAATCTTTAGTAGCAGACCAAGCTCCTATAGCAGACTAGTAGCAGAGCTAGAAAATTCTGACTCTAACACTTATGTTCTTCTATACTGCATTGCTTTTCTCTTAACTATGTCTTTCTTTCATTAGGAGTTTTTAAATTAAATAAAATCATCATCATACCTCCTATCTATTCCTTCTTCTAACATAGTGATTCCAATTTCTAATTCTGAAGGGTAACTCAGGTTATTTTACAGGCTGTCATTAAATTCTCAAAATCAAATAATTCAAATTTAAATTTAAGTTAAATTTTCCATGAAATCTAGCCCATAAACTATTCTACAAGAATATGGACCATAGGAGTGGAGTGTTCAATACAAATATCAAAGAAAAATTAGGTAAAATAATTCCAAAGGAGAGATAGACGAAACAAAGCGTAAACAACTGACCCAAGTTAACTCAAGCCCCAATAAGTTTAGGGCATTCAGCCTCTTTCTTACTTCCATTTTTCTTTGTACATCCCTCTTTTACTTGATAAGATTATTAAACATCTTATTGAAGTACATGATCGATTAGATTGAGGATCTTAATTGTAAAATAAAGAGTATACCAGATTTTAAAAACATTTTTCTTAGCAAACACCATTATGTAAGACAACCAGAACGAGAGTATGTTTTAGAACTGAGCAATTATACACCATTTATTGAGTACCTTCATAGTCAAGGCTCTGTACCATACATAGGCTGTAAGGGAAACAAAGAATTAAATATATTTCCTGCCGTCTAAGAGCTCATAATCTAGTGGGGGATTCAGGAAGTACTGTGCTTGATCTGTGGGACATTCAGAGGTTCCCAGAGTCAAATAAATGTTAGAGATGCTGGGTTAAACAAAGTTAAATATTGTTTTTATTGCACAACTAACTTCTAATGGCCCCTTTGTATCCTGTGAACTATCCAAGAGGGCAACATAGAATGAAGAGTTTCTCAAAACAATCAAAGAACACATTTTAGATAATTCACGCATGATGGAATTAATGTTTTCATCATGTAGCAGTTAGTCTCCAAAGACAATCTTTACTCCTCCCCTCAATGAATCTAGCCTACTACTATTCACGCTTTTGTGTAGTCCTCTTCCACAATGAATTTGGTCTGGCTCTGCATATCCAACAGAACAAGGCAAAAGTGTTGGCTTTCTGACTTTCCTTGCAAAGTCATAGGGCAATTTCCACCTGGGGCTCTTGGAGTGCTCACTCTGGGGGAAGCCAGCACCATATGAGAATTTTGACTACCTTGAGACTACGTGCTATGAGGAAGCCCAAACTAGCCAAACAGAGAGGCCATGTAGAAAGAGAAACATATTCAGCCAGCCCCCAGCCATTACAGTGATAGCCCAGGTGCCAGATATGTGACAAAGAAAGCCATCTTGGACACTACAGCCCAGCAGGTGCCACATGAAGAACCAAAGAATCCAAGCAATAGCAAGAACCCAATCAAGCTGTCCCAGACATGGCCAGCTATTTGAACCACACTAGCAGAGGCCCCAGACACTGTGGAGCAGATAAGCCATCACCTCCCTGTTCAAATTCCTGACACACAGTATTATTATTTGCTTTATGCCACTGAGTTCTGAGGTGGTTTGTTACACAGCAAAAGATAACCAGAACAAATTATAAAATGATGCAATAGCCATATATGATATAGGACAGTAGTGTCTCTCTGATGCTCATTTAATTACTGTGGGGAGGTGGTCGGAAGCTATGGCATTTTTAGGAATCCTGATGGCCCCTTGACATTTTGGGGACAAAAGGGGGATATCAGTTTGCCTTTAAAATAGACATGACCAACCAAGCCTTAGAAGTAACTATTCAGCATCTATTTTGAGCTGACAAAGTTACATCTATTAATAAGGGTGTATTCCCAGACCAGATATGGTAAAGCAATAAAGAGTTCTATTAGATGCTTGATCAAACTCCCTTTGGCAGAATTTTTTAAACAAGAAAAAGGAGACATATTTATGCATGCTCTAAGACTTCAATATTTTGGGTTAATGTGTAGGAATATGAGATTCAACCCTTTTTTTTTTTTTTTTTTTTTTGAGGCAGGGTCTTGCCCTGTTGCCCAGAGCTGGAGTGCAATGGCACAATCATAGTTCACTACAACTACAAACTCCTGGGCTCAAGCTATCCTCCCATCTCAGCCTCCCTGGGACTACAGGTATGTATCACCACACAGGCTAATTTTTTAACTTTTTTGTAGGTGAGCCACCATGCTCAGCCTTCAACCCTTTGTAATATAGAAGAAGCTTGATAGTACCAAATTTTAGGCATTTTGATACATTATAAAGATGTCATAATTGGAGCAATTTAAAAGCAGTGTCAACAACTTAATTACCAAAATACATTTGTACCAAATCTTACTGATTTTTCTAGGATGTTTCTTGCATTCATCCATTTTCATTCCCACTTCAACTAACCCCTTTTCAAGGCTTTTCCTCTCCCTTACAACTAAAAGTGTTTTGATGCTACACTTAATGGTTAAATTGTTACAATTATATTCTAACTTGTCCCCAGGATCTAATCTCTCCCTAAACTCCAAAAACTTTGAAACAATTAATCTAATCAAAACACTGTTTGATCATGAAATTCACCTGTAAATATTAAACAATTAAAGTCATTTCTTTCTCCAAAATTTCCTCTGGTTCCTTACCACCCCTATTTTCCATAATCCTGTCATCCCTCTACTAAACTTTACACTTCAATCAATCTAATCTACCCTTAAAACCCTGAACACACCTTGTTTATTTGATACTCTCCCATTCTCCTAAGTATAAAACTCATCCACTTCTCTGATTATTAAAATTCTTCATTACACTTTCCTAGGTCACATCAACCCAAAATCATATCTTCTTCTTTGATTAAGCATTATATTCTTAGCATTTAATCATATACTACTCAAGCTCTTAAAATTCTTTTTTGAAAATAGAGGAGGAATAAATCAATGAATACATATGTACAAACCTAAGTAAAATAAGTGGCTATATTCCATTGCATTTCTACTTAACATTTACTTTAAACATGTCTCTAGAAAAAAAAATATGCTCTTCACATATCAGGAAAAAAAAGAAAAAAGAAAAATAAACATGTCTCACTTCTCTTCTGAGATCAAGTAAATTAAGAGAACATACCTCATAATTTTCCACTTATGTTCAGCAACCTATGTTTACATACAGAAGACATTTTGTGCATTCCACAAATATTTACTGAGTGCCTATATTTATTAGGCAATATTTATTTAAACGTGAGGATGTGATGATAAATAAGATTTGTTCCCTATGCTTAAGGAGCTCATACTGCATCAAGAAAAGTAGATATATAAGCAATCTACTAAAATACAACATAGTCAGCACCACAATAAAATTAGAACAAATAACTAAGGGGCATAGTTTGGTGAAAGACTATCAAATACCTTCTTAAATAACTGCTCTCATGTGTTAACTGGCATATGAAAGTCATCAAGTAAACATGTACACATATAAACTTTGTATAAGTTTCTCCTCATCTGAAGTGCTCCTCCCTACCATCTGTATTTATTACATTTCCATTCTTTAAGGACCAAGAAAGACTGTATTCCCTCATTCATTCAACAAATACTTCCTAGAGACCTACTATATGCCAGGACAGGAATAAACAAGACATAAAGGTGTCCTCAGAGAATTTATAGTTAAGACTTTCTCAGAATCTCAGTTAGAATTCCTTTCTCCTTTATTTTATTACTGCATTCTGCCTGAATCTCCATTACAAAATTTATCACAAACTTTAAGCAATCAATTAATGTTACTTGAAGTGTGGCCCACTGTCATCTGTACTAAATTGCAGTGTCTGGAAGACGTAGACAGTGCCTGTGTATAGTAAGCAATCAAGGGTTTGTGAAGTAAACTGATACATAAATAGAGAGATATATATCCTGTCCTATATACATTATAGTCTGTATAGTAAGTGAGCACTAAATATTTAATTATGCCAACTAAAGCTGCAGCAAGTTTTGGCAAATACGTGTTTGTTCTACAATCCTAATGAAAGAACATATCTATTTATGAAAGAATAGAAACAGCATCCTCAGACAGCTCATGTTTATCTAAGCATCAAGGACTAGAGAAAGCTCATATAAAGTCGGGGGGAGGGGCATCATATTTGGATCAAACTGACACTCACAAATGCTGGGATTTCCGAACTATTTGCTGAGGCAGGTTCCACCCACACCCCAACTGGTACTATAGCCTGGTTCCTCTCAGCCAGCACTGCCAACACGTTCTTGCTCTTCAAGGGGTTTAAGGCCAAGGGCAACCTTGTGGGTTTTCGAGACTTCTTGAGGGGAGCCATACTTCTCGGCATCTGTGACTCCTGGTTAGGAGAAAGGAAAAGCTTAAAGTCTTCAAACCACCACGTTAAAAGCTCAAATCCTAACACATCGCCACAGGCCCCTGTAAAGGAGAGAAGCCCTGGTGGAGGCAGAAGCCGGGCAGGAAGTGCAAAAACAAGGATTCTAGAGAAAAAGGAAGAAAGAAGAAAGAGGAAAGATAAAGGAAGAGATAGGGAAAGAAATGAGAAAACGAAAGGTTTTTAAATTGCCTTCTCGAAGGAACAGGGATGAGAGGGAAGAGAAAAAAAGGATCGGACTGAGAGAATGAAGACTGCCTGGCGTCGGGCTCAGCAAGGTGAGAAGGTGGGAGAGACGGCAGCAGCCAGAGGGAAAGGCGGGGGAGAGACCTAGGTCAGAGGCAGAGTCCAAATACTCAGCATCCGGTTATGGGGAGAAGCGCTGAGCGGCTGTGGGACGCCCGGGCCAATTAAAATCCTGCTTCTGAGGTCCCGGGGACCCACTCTGCTGAGAAAGCAGTGGCCAGGTACCGGCCCGCAGCTAGCCACAGTCTCAAACTGCTCGGGGTACTAAGGCAACTGCTCAAGTAAACCGCCACTTTCTTGTGAGCTGCTCCGCCCCGCCCCGCCCCGCCGTGGCCTATACCGCCCCTTCCGGGCCCCGCGTCTCCTCCCCGGGCTAGGCAGGCCTGAGAGGCGGGGTTTCAGGCTGCGATGGTTTCGTCACTTCCTCTTCCTGTGCGGCTGAGGGGGCGGGAAATGGCGGGTGCGCGGGGTGCCTGGGTAATGCTCGATGCGGGGCGCGGCAGGCAGACTGTGCTGAGACCTGCGATGAGGCCATCCCAAATCCTCAAGAAAAGGGATAGGTTGGGCTGATGATCTTGTTGACCGGGCGGGCCATGAGTCTCAGTTGAAGGAAGCAGGGGAAAAGGATGGTAAAGGAAGGCGGGCCTGGTAGGACTTCTCAAGGAACAGACTGAGCTAACAATAAATTATACAGATCTTTGTACAGGTCATTACGTTCACAACGCGATTTCATACATATTCTTATATTTGGACATCACAACCTCGTGAGTGGTCTCCTTTAGCTCCTAGTCCTTGTGTAATCTAGGGACAATTATCCCTGTGGGATACCCATTTATTCATTCATTTAACATATATTATTGCCAGTTGTTTATATACCAGTACTGTTGCTAGCACCGGAGATATATAGTCATAAACAAAACAAATATCGCTTGCTTAGGGAATTTAAAATACAGTGAGAGAAAGTAATGGAATAAACACATGACTAAGTAAATGTGTCATGCTAATGCATTCTGTGGAGTAAAAGCAGAGAAAGAGGATAGGGGGTGTGTTGAGGGTGGGGAATGGGGAGATGAAATATTAGGTAGGATGTCCAGAGAAGGTTGACTGAGGTGCTTTTGAGCAAAGACTTACATGAGATAATGGAACAAGCCAGTGTAATCTTCACGGAAGTATTTTATAAAAGAGTGTTCCAGGTCTAGGGAACAAAGGCCCCAAGGTGGGACATTGCCTAGTTGAAAAACAGCTAGGAGGATAGTGTGACCGGAGCAGAGTGAGAGGGGCAGAATGCTGAGACAGATGTCAAAAGTTCAGGGCTGGGCCATTGTGTGGAGCGTTGTAGCCACCATAAGGTGTTGAGATGGGGAGCCACTGGAGGATTTTGAGCAAAGGAATACCATAACGTAACTTAAATTTTTTTTTAAAAAAATCATTATGGATGCTGTAGTGAGAATAGACTGAAGTGGTAAGGGTAGAAACAAAGGAAACCAATTAAGGGACTATTCCAATAATCTTGGTAAGGGATTATGATGTCTTAGACATCTCTACCAAGTGATGGTAGAGATGATGAGAAATGGTTGGATTCTGGATATATTTGGGAGGCAAGACTTTCAGGATCTGAATGTTTGAATATAGATTGTGTGTGAGAGAGAGAAATCAAGGAAAACTCTAGGAGTTTCATCCTCAGCAACTGACAAGATGCAATTACCATTTACTGAGATGGTGAAGATGGTGGAAGTAGGTTTGGAAGCAGGAAGATCAGGAGTTCAGTTTGGGACAGACTAAGTTTTATTTATCTAATCAACATCCAAGAAAGTAGTATGATAAAAAAAAAAAAAGGTATCTGAAGCTCAGAGGAGAGTTCTGGGCTAAAAATAGAAATCTACGAGTAGTTGCCTATAGATTTAAAGCCATGAGGTTGGAGGGAGTCACCAAGGGGCTGAATAGAGATAGATAAGAAAATAGGCCATTAGACTGAGCCCCAGGGTATTCCACTTTACAGAGGCTGGGAGTAAGAGGAGAATGCAAAGAGATTTAGAAGGATCAGTCAGTAAACTGCAGAAGAAAACTAGTGTGATAATTTTGAAAGCCAGTGAAAAAAATGTTAATTTTAGAAAGACCATCTGTGTTAAATCTTGCTGATAGGTCAAATAAGAGAACTCGAGAAAATTTACTATTGGATTTAACAATGTGGAGGTCATTGTTAACTTAAAAAAGAGCAGTGTCTTTGGAGCAGTTAGAAAGCCAAAGCCTGGTGGGGTAGACTTAAGAGAGAGTGGGAGAAGGAATTGGAGACAGCAATTTTAGACAACTCAATGAGTATTGTTGTAAAGGGACACAGAGAAATGGGTGACTGAATGTAGAAGTAGGGTCATAGGAGAGTTTTTTTCTTTAAGATTATGACATATGTCTTTTGTTGATGGGAATTATCCATCAGACAGGAGAAAACTGATGATGCAGGAAAGAGAAGGGAGACTTTTTGCAAGTACAGTCATGTGTCACTTGATGGGGCTACATTTTGAGAAATGCGTCATTAGGCGATTTCATCATTGTGTGAACATCGTAGAGTGTACTTACACAAATGAGATGCTATTACCTACTACACATGTAGACTATATGGTATAGCCTGTTGTTCCTAGGCCACAAACCTGTACAGCATGTCACTATACTGGATACCCTAAGCAACTGTAACACAATGGTATTTGTGTACCTAAATTTATCTAAAAACACAGAAAATGTACTGTAAAAATACAGTATTATAATCTTATGGGACCACCATCATATATGCAGCCTGTCATCGACCAAGACTTTTTATATGGCACATGATTATATATCCTTATGTGGGCAAGAGGGAATGGGATCTAGTGAACAAGTGGAGGGATTGGCCCTAGCTAGAAGGAGGGATAGTTAATTATAATAATAACAGTGAATATGCAGTATACTGATAGGTAATGTGGTGGTAGGAGCTTGTGGAAGTTCTCTTCTGATTGCTCTATTTTTTTTTCTGTAAAATAGAATTATAGTCAGCATCCAAGATAGCCCCTAATGATCCTCACCTCTTGATGTTCATACCCCTGGTTTGTCCCCTCCCCCATTTTATCTAGGTTGGTCTTTACAACCAATAGAATATGGCAGAAGTGAGGGTATATCACCTCAGAGATTAGGTTATAAAAGACACTGTGTCCCTTTCCTCTGGGGGAAGCCATGCATGTTATTAGCAGTCCTATAAAGAGTTCCACATCTCAAGGAACTGAAACCTCCTGCCAATAGCTCTGTAAATGAGCTTGGAAGTAGATCCCCCAGCCCATATCAAGTCTTCACAGACTGTACTCTCAGCCACCAACTTGACCGCAACCTCATAAGAGACCCTAAGCCAGACCACCCAACCTGAAACTTGTAAGATAATATTTGTGTTTTAGGATGCTGAATTTTGGGATAATTTATTATACAGCAAGAGATAACTAATACAGATTAGTTGTTGTTGTATAACTAATTAGTTATACAAATTAGTGACAAATTAGTAATATCACTAGAGGAAGAGATGTTGGTGGTTGGAGGAAGGAAGAGAAGGTATAAAATGGTTTTCCAGAAGAGAGGAAGTGTGAATTAGAGACATTACAATTGCTAAATGGCCTTAAGGACCCAGTCAGCATGATTGAGCATTTTTTTTCAATGGCATGGTTATAGGCATAAAGTAGATGCAGAATTGAATTTTAGCCTGGGTTGAGGTCTTGCCAAGATATTACTATCAAGCAAGAAAGGGGCAAGGGATTAATTAAATGATTGGTCATGGAATTTAAGGTAGGTAGTGAGGGAAGAGAAGATAAGTGACAGATAAGGGACAGTACAAAGTTGGTAGGGTCAAGAGGTTGTAGGTTCCCAAGAGGTTGGGGGTCTAAGGTTTGTTAGAGCAGGATACTAGGAAGAATGTGCTCATAAGATGAGAGGTGGTGGTCTGAGAGTGAGATGCTTGAAACTGAGAGTATGGAGGGGTTGTGGTTATTGGTGTTGTCAAAGTCTACAGTATGACCAAGTGTGTGAGTGCTGAGCAAGGTTAAAGAACAAGATCACTGAAGAAGAAGAGGTCATAGAAATGAAGGGCCAGAGCATTGAATGGATTATCAATGAGGATATTGAAATCACTAAAAAATATGACAAGAGTAGTGTTGGTGAGAGCCAGGAGCAACCATCTTTAAGGAATTTCAGGAAAAGCCTTGGAGGTTGGTAGGTGAGTATAATTTGGAAAACAGTACATGATAGAGTCTGAGGGGTGAGCTTAAGAAAAATGGAGGAGATAGTTTAGAAATAGTACTGAGTAACTGAGTAGTAAGAAGGAAACCCATCCCACCTCCACCCAGAGGGGTAAGGAACAGGAAACAAGAGACTACTGGAGAGGGCCAGAGGAAGGTTGAATTGCACATTTCCACACACACACACACACACACACACCGAGAAGTGTTAATAGGTAGCTCCTTGCTCTTTCCAACCTTTTACCTCAAGGTCTATGCCTCCACTTGCAGCTGGGCCAGTGGTTTCATAAGAATCTTTACTCTCCATATGTTCAGAGAATTCACGTCTCAGACCCTACTCCCATTTTCTGACCTCTTTAACAAGGCTTATATTCTTTATGGCCAAAGTTCGTTTTTTAGCAAAGAAACTGTTTGCTTAGAAACATCTATCTGCTTCAGAAACTTAAAAAAAAAAATGGGTGTTGCTGGCAGCAGATTATTGAGCCTCTGCTCCAAAGTACTCCTCATCAGTTGGATAATCCTTTTTCTTTGTCTAGGGGATCCCTGGTCATGTCTACACAAAGCCCTGAGTCACTGGGTCCTTGGCAGCAGTCCACCCCACACAGAACTGATTGTTTCATGAGTACCAGGGAGCAATTTGCTGTTGGGTCACTACTCTCTTGTTTATGACTGGCTGACCCACACCTGTAACAAATTATAAAACTTGGTCATGAGTCAGTCCTCAGGGCCTGGCCCAAAGAGACCCTCTGTAGAAGTGCCAAACTGACATATCCTCAGTCTCAGGGGGACTGGATGTCAGGGACTCAGCCCGAGACAGCTGAATCACACCACTTTCACTCCCCTCCCCTCCCCAAGTTTGAGCAGGGTCTTCAGGGCTAACCAGTGTCCCGGGCTATTTCCTGAAAATGGACCACAGTACTGTCCTCCTTGGTTCCTCCTCCTCCTTATCCACCTCTCAAAATGACCTTTCTAACTGGAATAACTAGAGGGTTCCTTCTGCTTGCCTATGCAGACTAGGTTTTTGTGGTAGTATTTGACTGTTAATGGCACCAAGAGCAGATTGCTCCAGTTAAGCCCAGTTTTCTCCACGGCATCTGCTGTGCTGCTTCTTGCAAAAGATTCT